AATTTCGTGATACATCTATCCCAACGTTTCCTGGCGTTACGGCCTTAGGAAGGATTGCTAGTGGTAGTTTGTCTTCTCTTTGATTTTGGCGCACATTTGGAATGGATGGTTTGCAACGGCTTGAAAAGTATGTTACTTTTGAAAAATTACTTTTACTGGCGTTTTTAAAGATTTTGGAGTTCCATTTTGGTATTAGGGACCTGGTTTATCGCCAGTGTTTGTTGTATTTGTGCTTGCAGTGGCTCGGAGGACACAAAGGAGTGATTTTTTATGTTAGATATTCATTTGAACCAAATTTTAAAGTTTTTTTGAATGATCTGCACCTATTTATCTTCGTTTATTTTATGCTTATGAAAAACCTTAGTACAAAGGAAACATTGCTTTTATACAAAACATTACATTATTTCACTAACTTGATAGAATTAAATTTCTTCTACGAATTAAAAAACAATCTATTTTAGTTTTTAACATTTTTGATAGAGCAGGCCATTTATCTGCTGCCTTCTAAAGTTAACAAATGTTGAAAAATAGTCGATTGTGGTTAGTACATTGCGTTGTGAGTAATTGCTCCTTATATCCCCTCTCAGTTAGCTTGCTTTGTTTGCCTTGTTCGGTATCTCCCATCAACTATTTTTGCCTTGCAGGTCAAAGTGTTTCTTCATCACTACTGTTTTAATCTCTTTCAACAAATATGAAACAAACAATAAAAAAATCGAACCTGCATCAAGTATATAATTGTGTGAAATTAATTTGTAATCAAAGTCTTGTTGATAGTTTATTATAGACAAGAATGTGGGTCAAAAAGTATTTTTAGATAATGTAATTCAAGTTTTATATTATATTCTTTGTGATATTTTCACTTACATTTATTGTCACCAAGGTATAACCTGTTGTTTTGGTGTGGCAGCCCCCCTTCCCTCCCCCGACCAGCATCATAACTTTCTGTATAATGCTTCCGTTATATGATTTTCGTTTACTACCAGTTACCAGAAACCTACTCTGGCCAGCAAAATAGAAATTATCCTGCAACACTTGTCCTTAAAAACATATGCGAAATGATTAAGATCTATCTAGTGATAAAAAAATATTCTGTCTCAATTGTTACAAGTGTGGTCACTCTTGGAAATTTTATATGTGTTAATTATAACAGAAATTTATAGTAAACATGTTGTATTAGCCTCTGCAAATTCTACATGGCATGATTTTCATTGTTATTGAAATATGTGAGTAATATAAAAACTGTGTGAAAACAAATTAAATTGCTCATTCTTTGATTCCTTATCTATTTTTGTTGTAAAAACTGCAATTACACCCTTGATATTTTTATTAAAGTGGTTCTCATAAGTTTTTGGTTTTTTGACGACAGGGTTTATTTTAGGATATTTTTATTGCTGCACATTTTCAAAATTTTTGAATATTTGGGTGTTTACAATAGATTTACAAAGCTTTACAAATTATATTAACAAATAAAAGTATTCTTGGTTTGAACAGGTTTTTGAAAACAAATTGGAAAGTAGAAAATGAAGAGCTAAACAAACTAGATAGTTTCTAGGTACTGGATTCAATAAAATTTTAGAGACGTTTCATATATGATGATAAATTGATACTGTTCTGCTTTCGTTTTTGATATTGTAATGCTCTTTTATGAGCTTTATGCTTCTACTGGTGTTTCCTGCAATTTTCTTTTTCCTCCACCAAATCTCTTTTCTTCAGTTTTATCACTACCAGAAAACTGAGTTCATTACTGCACAAATTCGATTTATCAGTACACAAATTGCTTATCATTGCATGTCAAAATAAACCTTGTTTGATAAGCCCATAAGTAAGCTCCTCAAATAAGACCCTATTCTTTAAGACGTTTTTAAAATGAGCCTCCGTCCTTGAATAAGTCACCAGGGTTATGTATTTCTTGTCCAATTGAAATAACGGCTTGTTTCTTTTAAGTTCCTTTTTGTTTCTCTGGACCACTTGATATTAAGAAGTCCAAATTTAGTGCTGCAAAGATACTCATGTAGTATGATAAGCATCAATAAAAACCAGCACACAAGATGGGGGCAGGGGCGGATACAGAATAAAAGTTGACGGTCGCACATAAACACTATCCAGCAGGCGGTGTAGGGGGCCTCCCTCGTAATCAAGGGTAGAGCCATGATAGAGACCCAGCCCCCCTCCCCCCCCGGAACCAGAGCAGCTAGGTTTAATTTCAAAGGCAAAAATCCTAAGCTCACAATGTCAGTTATTGCAACCACAATAAATAAATTCGCCTTTTTTCAAGAAAGTCATCTTGATTTATTGTCTAGAATATTATTTTCATGTCTTGTAAGCCTTAACTTTCTAACTGTGATTTGTCCCGCTAAGCAAGACTGATACACTTTGATTGATTAAACGCCTTAATAGACGCCCTTATCTTTAGGAGTGGAAGTTGCCTCACCAACGAGGTTTGCAGGCCTTGTGGTAGTTTTGAGGGTGGCGACAGGACTGCGGCCCTGAAACGTTCAAATTGTCCAGTCAAACATTTTTTCCTTTTAATAGGTTTTACCTCTTGCAGTTGCAGACCATAAAAAACAGTGTAGCAAACTATGTTCTATCGATTAAACTTTAAATGGTAATTTAATATTTTTTCTGCGAAAAGTTATTAAAGTAAAAACCGAAGGGCTGTTTTCACAAATTGCACATTTTTGTCTAAGTTTCGGTTTCGGAGACTTTTATTTAACTACAAAACAGTAAAACCATGGAATTTGTGATATTTGAAAATCAAATAGTTGTTTTAGAAAAACTGGAGGGAAGTTTGCATGCCTAATATGAATCAATAACAGCAAATGGTGCAATTCTGAATGCTGTTATACGACCAGTTTTGCCTGTTTTGTTTGTATCAGTACTGTTATCTGTCGCCTTGCATCATCCCATCGCTACTATTGTTGCCAGAAGTCCCTTTACCAGGGTCCTACCCCCCCCCCAATACAGGGCCACCGGACGCAGGTTTGAGCATGGGGGGGGGGGGCCAAAGGAATAAAACGGGCACAAACATAATTTTTTTTGCAATATTGGTTATTGCCAAAATAGGACAGCTTTCATGGTAATTCAAAAATTTAGAAAAAAATAACACAGCGTAAATGGCTATGTGCTTCATTTAGGAGTCATGCACTCTTGGGCATACTCAATTGTATAATTCCTCATGGGCGTTGAAGTTCTTTTGTTTTTGTAAATCTTTCATCAACGTATGATTCATATTTTCTTTAAAATTCGATTCACCCTTATTTGTTTCAGTCTTTATCTCTTCCAAAATTTAGCAAGATAAAAAATAAACAACGCCTTGATTTAAGTTATTTTAGGCCAGGTTCAAACGTCGCGCTTCTCATGTGCCGAACCTAACTCGAGAATTAAGTACATGACGGGCGCGACGTTTGAATTAATTTGGTACGGCAGATTTAGTTAGGAGCGGCAGATTAGTTTGGATTGGCAGAGCTTGCCGAGCTGCACGGCTCTAGTACGGCACGGTTTCAAGCGTCGAACTTATCATGTACCGAACTCAATGCAGAATAATATTTTTTTTTACTTTCCTTACCAGAATTCATTTCTTTCTTGAAGGGCGCATGCGCTCAAACAAATATTTGAGATTGCGTGCCTTGACCAAGATACTTCATGTAACAACCCTAAGACCCATTTAGCGCGACATGATTAAGTTCGACGTTTGAAACGGGAGTCGCGCTAAACATGCTCAAGTGTCGCTCCAAACAGAGTTAGGTTCGGCACATATGAAGCGCGACGTTTGAACCAGGCCTTACTTGGCGTCTAAAAAAAATATCTGGCTTTGAAAAAAGTACACCCAATATTTTTTTTCAAAAAGTGCACTTTGCGCACTTTTTCCAAACAAGAGGGGCCTGTGCCCCCGTGCCCCCCCCCCGGCTCCGGCGGCCCTGTTTTATAGGAAATCAAAAAGATTCATATTAAGTCCTGACTTAAGTACCCTATTTATCATGACATTCCAAACTTGCGAAGAAATTTACTATGCCGAAATTTAGCCGATTTTCAAGATACCCACGGAAGATTGAAACAAAATGACAGTTACGAAAGAATTGTTGGTAGCTGGAAAATATGTTTCAAATGCCCTTTTAGTCAAGTCCGCTCCCTTGCCCCTTGGTCGTTCCGGCAATTGCAGCAAAAGGTGTTACCCCTAAATTTGTATTATGTATTTCATGATATTCTTTTCTGATATGTTGTGTTAGCTCAATAGGAACGAGGGGCTTATTCGAGAGGGCTGTAGCTCAATCAAATTATTAGAGAATTTTGATCAGTGGTGGAATTTACGTATTCGTACATCAATGAGAATCGACAAACGCGCATCGACGAACACGCATCGACGAACACGCATCGACGAACACGCATCGACGAACACGCATCGAAGAACGGGCATCGAAGAACGGGCATCGACGTACGCCCATAGTCTCTCCTTGATGTGACAGACCCTTGTGACATCAGGGCCTAAAATAAGAAATTTTTATAGATCCACATTTTTTATAAAAATTGGGCGTGGTGCTTTCCTGGGATTGGCATCATGGGCCTGGCGAATATAGAAACTGCCACCATAGTGCAAATAGCATGTCCTAATTGAGCAAATTCTTAAATGAATGAAGTATAAGATACAAAAGCTGATTCTTTACAATATATGGATTGGGTTAATATGAAAATTAGCAACATACAATGATGTCTTAACTTGTGGGCAAAAATTTATCGAAAGGAAACCCTTTTACATGGTTTGTTCGGATCTCCGTCAAAATTGTTTTTCTCTCCTTTCTCCTGCAAAAAACTCCATTAAATCAGTCTTGCTTCCTAGACTTATATGTTTTTGGTTTTTTGGAGCCACATCTTTGCAGCTGTTCATGTAACTCGAAACTTGCAAAATAAAGCATATTTATTGCTATATCTGTTTAGATTGGTTAAGTTTTTCTGGAGCCATTCTGCTTTCCCCACCTGCTTCTATCCTTTTTGTAGGTGGGAATTAGGCTCTCTAAATCGACAGAATTGGGGTTTGCTGCGAGAATCCAAGCCATTGTCTCGCCATGTAGAATTCCTCTGAGAAAAAATCTCAGATCTCTGTGATCCTAGTCATTATTTTTCAAGTTTCAATTCATCATTGAATGAATTATTTTGTCCCGTACAAAAGCTGGGTGAAGCTTGCTTAAACCTTTTTTGCTTATGAAAAACTCTTAATTGCATTCAGCCAACCAAATTCTTTGTTCTTTAAAAGTTTTGATACTATGAACGAGATCCTTGTTACAGATGGCAAATAATCTATTCTCTCACTGATGTACAAACTTTGCTTGTCTCTTCTTTTTCTCTTTTTGCACAGATTGAAAGCATGATCTTTACCCCCATCTTGTTTGTAATGCAGACACCACGCACCCGCCAGTGCGACCAGATTTCATTTTTGTAATGATGCCAAAATATTCATAAGATTGTGTTAGATTTGCAAAAAATATGCTGATTTTTAAATCAAGGCAACCCTGCTCGAGAAAGAGGCTAACACATGCTCAGAATATCAAAAGTGGCCAGAGTTGCTATTTGGCCCTTTTGACCAATCATCTAAAACCCAGTGTACTCATTCTTAATGGTTTTAAAGGCCAAATTTCTCAATTTTGGCAGTTTTTCGAAACCCCTTGGCCGTCATAAATTGATTTGACCGAGGAAGCAAAATTTGGCTGAATTCTGGCCGCATGTTGCAAGAAACAACGAAATGCAAAGGAAACAAAACTTTTTGCACAGATAATATTCAAAACTTTTTAAAATAATTTCAAAATTGCAAATGATGAATGCTGAAAGAAAGTGAAAGATAAGAGACAGTTTAAGATAAAACGAGTGAAAACTTTTGTAACCTACAAAGCAAACTTTGATTACGCTATCACTCCCCACAATTAGAAAACATTTAGCTTTTTTGTATACTGCATTTAGCTGACTGAATTTGGCCGCAAACCATAAAATATATGGCTGACAATCATTCCAAACATCTGGCAAAATCCTGAAAGTGGAAAGTCCCAATTTACTCCCAATTTACTCCCATTTGGTAACGATAGACAAAGGTTCAATTGAACGATGAATTTTTAAAAAAATGTCAAAATTATGCTAGATTTTATGCTAAATAACGATTTTTGGCCAATGTTATGCTAAAACCATAATATTATGCTAGATCAGGTCACATTGGCACCAGCCAACAAGGAAGTGGCTGGAACGAGGCTAGGAGGCGCGAACATAACTTTTTTTACGGCAACGCCCTTTGAAACAACGTAGAACACCCCTTTCAGAAAATACTTGCTTCTTTCAGTCCTTATTCATAAACATACCGGTTCAAAGAAGATTTCAATTAATATAAAAAAACAAAAAAGCCTTGACCACACAAGATAAAACACAATGAAAAAGAACAAAAACGGGTTCCCAGCAGAACTGCTACTAATGGGTTAGTTGGCATAAACTTTCAAAACTTTTTCTTCTATCTTCTTTCTTCTATCAAATCTATTATTGCAAAAAAAATGGGGAGGACTGTTTTGTAACATTCCCAATTAAATGTTCCTCGCAGCAGGGCCGTCGCTAGCGAGGGATGCGGGAGTGTGGCACCACCCCCTAGAAAATTCTTGTCGGCATAAACTCGAAAAGTAGAGTTTTGTCGGGTTTTGCTTTCAAAGTTTCCAAAGCAATAGCTTTAGCAAGCAGTGGGGATGAGATGAGGATAAGACCAAAAAGTATCACCCAAAAACCCTCAGCAACTAAAAAATGGCACAGATAAGGCTATGAATGTCACGGAGAGGCAAGTGTACCCCAGAAATTTCAAATGACTCCCTGCCGATGTAATATACGTTTTGGTACCCTATGCAAAAGTGTAACATTGTGAAACGCAATGTGTTTCAGATCGTGTGATTTCATCATTGTGCGATGTTTGACACGTTTTTAAGAATTTAATATTTCACAATTGTCAATTACGCAAACTTTGGAGTCGCCATTAATGTTTTACTTTTTTGCATAAACTTAACAACGGAAATCACAGCACCGTTTAGCACCCTTTTTATAAAAATAGTTCAATTGTTCTTTACATTCTGAACAATATGAACCAGAACATTTGTGTACCCGGATCAGTTCGCATGCTTAATTCCATTATTCGTTTTGGTACCCTGTTGTTTAAATGCTTTGGTACGTTTTTGCATAAACAAGTTGTCATGTGTTTGTGTTCCTGGACCGTTTTGCATGCTAAGTTCCACCATTCGTTTTGGTACCCTATTATTTAAGTGCTTGGGTACTTTTTTGCATTACCAAAATTGTCATGCGTCAATTTTTAATGTAAATCTCAAAACCTGCCTATAACCTTCACCGAGAATATCTAGTATCAGCTTTAGATAATACCCGTGGAGAAGTATGTAATTAATCAAGAAAATAAGATTTGTAGGCAAAATAAACGGAAAAGAAGCCCAGTGTTTCTAATTTATCGATAAGCCGAACGTTATAGCTGACCAAATTATGTCATGCTAAGCGCCAATGTCAAGACACTTTGATAGAAAAAATAACAAAATTGTTCCCTTGTCGTTATTCATAATTGCAATCATTTCTTTGTGTCTTGAGATCAAAATTTTGTCTACAAATTGTTTCTTGTACCAATAATGATCGGAATGGCGCATAGCTGACTAAACTTTGTCATGCTAAGCGCCAATGTTACGACACTTTGATTGAAAAAATAACAAAATTGTTCCCTTGTCGTTATTCATAATTGCAATCATCTCTTTGTGTCTTGAGATAAAAATTTTGTTTACAAATTGTTTCTTGTACCAATAATAATTGGAATGGCGCATAGCTGACCAAATTATGTCATGCTAAGGGCCAATGTTACGACACTTTGATAGGAAAAATACGCAAAAAGTTCTTTTATCGTCACTGATCATTGAAATAATTCCATCAACATCGTAAATTCAACATATTCCAATAAAAGGCGTTTTTGAAGCGATAAACTGTAATATGGCACATACATAACCACCGTCTTTTTTGCTAAGTCCTATTTTTTCAAAAAACATTGATACTTTTAACAAAAAGGTTGGTTAATTTCTCTCTCAAAATAGACAAAGATTAACTTTTTTCTTAATATCGTCTTATTTATTTGTAGAATAATTTATCTTATGTTGCTTTTTATAAGAAAAGTTTCTCATGTAAGGGCTCACACCCTTGAAAAAACCAGAAAAGTTTGCAATTTTTATTTATGATGATAAAATAAGATCAAATTAATTATTCACGGCAAATGAATAGGGTGTCAAATAAGTTAAGCGTTTAAGTAAGAAAAGGGTGAATGTTTGAAGCTTTAGAATCCTTTTTCTTGTTTAAGTGTGTAATTGCAGTGAAAAAGAAGCAGCTTGATGTGGCTGAGAAAATTCTCTTCATTCATGTACGACACTTGACTCTTGAGCGTCTTCAGTGCATTTCTCTGCTCGTTGATTTGGGTGTTGATTCGGTCATATGCTGGTTGATTAGAAGCATTGTAGCTTTCAGCACAAGCTAAATATAAGAAAAATACCTTTAATTCAAACGGCCCTTGACGCATTGAGATTGCAGGGACAGCTCTGTCCTCCTACCAATTGGACAAAGCTTAACATAAATTCTATCAATATATTGCTTTTCTAGCCTATCGTTGACAATTCAAATCCTTCTATTTCGACAATCTTTTCGTATTGTAACTATCACTGGCTTTATACATTTGAGTTAGCTTCCAATCATAAAGAACTGTCTCGCAATAATTCTTCATTGTATTCGATTGTATGTCGTACTGAAATGAGAGCTCTTTTTGTTTACACTCATTTCCATTTGAAAAATTATCTTTAATCTGATTTTCATTTTATTAAAATTAATGATCAATAAAAAGATGTGGTATCACTGTTCGACGCAAGAAAAAAGACCATAAGGTAAATAACAACGTAGAACAAAGATTGTTGCATATCTTTCATCCGTATATCGATCACAGGGGGCACAGCTATTTGCAACTGCTTCAACAACAACAACAATGTACAAACCTTTATGATTCTTACAGCGGAATCTGTCTACTAAAAAGTTGCATTGTTTAAAGAAGCCATGGTAAATAGGCCAACGAGAAGGCCAACAAATTACTTGTAAGAGGAAACAATAAGCGATGAAAGACATGATGAAAAACGCTTTTAAACATATCAATTTTTACACTGCTTTCGGTATTAAAATTTAAAACAAAATTAAAATATATATACATAGAAAAATAAATCGACACAATCGAGAAGAAACGATGAGCCTGATTACAGGAGAAAATCTTCGTTGATTCCAAACCAAAATAATTCAGTTTGGAAAAGATCCTGTTATTTGCTGCATTTACACATTTGGACATAATTGGCTTCACATTGTTACCAGATGTTTTCCCAAGATGGATTTTGCGTTTCCATTGCTAGTTTCGAAAACATTGTCATTCGATACCAAACTCCGAAACGATGCTGAAAATGTTGAGGCATTCAAAAAGTGGAGTCATTTGAAAACAGTCCTCCAATCTGAACCAATCTGGAAACACATCTCGTTTTGACTATGAAAACGGAATGACCTGAAAACTTTATGAAACTTTATCCCTGTACCTCTTGAAGATAACAGCACGTATTAATAAGACAAGATCAAATCGCTTATTATGACAATAGCTTGATGTGATAAATCCTGTATAAATACCTTCTGGCAATTTAATTGTGATATTGTGAATGGGACATTAGTAGACTCTTGGCATTGCATCATTTCAAAACCGTAGCAGATTTCTGAATAGATAAAAAAGGTGTTCCTAAAACAAAATTTTGGAAAGAAAGAGCAAAAGTTGCCAAACGGGAGGTCATACGGAACGAGTTCATAGAAAGTTCACTATTTTTTAATCGCGGAAGCTGTTGACATCATCATCCTTTCTGAAGCAACGATTTATGTCAGGTTTGTTAATAACTCATGAGATTTCCTTGAATCATTTGGATGACGACTAACTATTTTACAACAAACGGAAACCATGCTATATGTTTGGTGGAAAGTTCAAGTGGACAACAATACAATTTTCTCTGAAGAGTAACTGCACTGATAAGTTAACTCCAAATGGGCACCTCAGATATATATGCTACAATTTAATGACACATTTTTTCTAAAGCAAGGAACATTAATTAAAAGAGAATACCGTGTTGACAGTAAACTGTGAATATACCAGGCAACAAATTTGGATGACCTCGATATGTTTTAGCACATTCCTCCCTGGTGTCGCTCTTCATTTTATCCATTGTGTAGGAGCCACGGTCGGATAGCTGTGGCCACGAAGGAAAGAAGCTCAAATTTTTGGACAAGAAACTGTTCAATGTTGAGGTGTCATGAGGCTGGAAATCTGTGACATACCTTGACTTCACAATTAGCTCTTCAAGCAACGTGATTCACGGCTGTGGCAAAGAAGCAGCAGGAAGACATTTTATAACTCCATAAACAATGGGGGCACAAATCTGAAGCTCGGATAGAGCTTCTGGGTCTTTCCTTATTATCAGCCAAGAGGATAAACGTGCTGCCAAATGATTGAAGGAAGCTGTCGGTGGTATATAAGAACAAACCGGCGAATTTGATGAAATGCACCTGAAGAAGGTACATAGCTCCTTGGAAATTGCTCACAGCCTTGAAAGAGCTCTTCACAAGCTTCAAGCACGTGCAAAATGTTTGGATGTTCGTGGCATATAAGTGTATTTAGTGATATCTTTCTACGCATTCCAAATATTTCGATGAAACAAGTTTTCTTAGTAGCATCCTGGTTTTCCTCTTCTTGATACAAACTCGTTGGCTGAAGCTAGTAATGATACCAAACCAAAGAAAGAAATCTTGAATTAGAAGTGAAAGAATAAATTTTGCACTCTTCTTATTATCGCCAGCAAATAGAATTAACTAAAATGAGAAAGCTTCAGAATCTGACAGAGTAAAGCATAGAACTGGCCCGCGTTTTCATAAAGATCAGAAGTTTTCATAAAGAATTGCTCATATATTGACTACAATAGTCTACGAAATAACTTTCAGAAGTAAAATTCTTGATGTGGAACTGAAGTAGCCCATCACGGTAGCAATACTATAATGTACGAAAAATTTATCTTTAAGCACAAAAAAGATATCTATCACTTATCTTCCATTCAGCATTACAGGGTTGGCCTCGTTTGGTAGCTCTTGAAGGCCTCGAGAATATTTCCTCCGATAGCCAAGTGATGTTGCATCGCATAAGATTATTGGAGGATATTGTCCACACAAGAAAACCTGGAAATGAAATCAACGTCTAGTAGCCGAATAAATGAGTACCAGGCCATTCGCCATTGGTCATACGTCAAACAGTGTGACACATCAAATCTTGAGGCACGTAGGTTGAGTTTCCATATCTTCAGGTAGCTGACAAGGCTTTGGCTGTAAGGAACATTGTAGAAGAAGAATAGATAAAGTGAACATGTAAAAATGTATTTGCATATGCCATATTCATATGCATGGATGCATTGATGTTGGCAAGAGGAAAACGTAAACTTCAACAGAGTCAAATTGTTATCAGATATAGATTTACGAGAAAATTCTCTTCTTCAATGAAAATCTCCTGATGAGAAGCAAAAGGGTACCTGTGGCCATGAAGAAAATGAAGCATATAGTCTCTCAGCACATCGTGCCCAACAAGAAACTCGCCCATGTTCAAAATTCCTTTTGCGCAACCATCATATGGTTGAATCAAACCACACTGCGCATTCTGGCATCTTCTGTACGGCACTGAAAAAATAAATTTAGGTTTGTATAAAAAGGAAATATATCTCTTTCGTCATTAATCAAAGTAAGGGCTACTTGACGTTGTGATAATTGATAATTGCTTCTTCAAGAAAAGATTAACTTAATAAAGTTAACAGAACACAAAGTTCTCACAGGTTCGCATCTTCTCTTCCTACAGTTAGCTAATGCGTGACATCAACATATACTAAGCCGATTAGCATTTCAATTGGCCATTGACTTCGGAAATCATGTTTGCTACATATTGATCAAGTCTTCTGTATAATTTTCTGCATGTCTATATAAATTAGTTTTTTAACTATTCAAAACAAGGACCGAGAGGCCTTGCCCCCTTCCCGAAAAACTTAGCTGGTATAAGTAAAATACTTTTACTTTGTAAAACATGACTGTTTTTACATCTATTTATTAGGGCTGCCCACCCCCCAATCAAAAAATTGCATCTCGGTCTTTGATTCAAAAGGTCTAAGATCTCAAAAATTCATAGATCACCTTGCACAGCCAGTATCATTTTTGTGGTAAAAAGCCTGTGAGATGATCCACTCCATTCAATCGTTGCCTCGTTAATATCATAACCACAGGATGGGCATACACTATACGCAAAATCAGGGCACAACTTATCGTCTTCCTGCAATGTCGATGTATCAACAATAAATCTGCCATTGAATATGCTGGCTTGTGAGGCCATAGGGCCATACGAAATCCGTCTTGTCGAGAGAGAACACCTGGTGTACGTTTTCGGGTAGGTTTTCTTGAGAACATCATGCCTTTGCACCATTTGAAGAAGGAAGTCTGGGGTTTCCTCAGACTGGTTATCAATTAGGGAGTTGATGGCTTCAACATGGGAACATGAGTGACAGCCAAAGGTGCAAGAGAAGCAGATAAAGCCCTTCCTATCTACACCGACAACACCAATTTCCTTGCTATGAGGTTTTACAGATACTAATTTTTCCTTTGAGAATACCAATTCAGCTATCAAAGGACGTTCATGGAAGAAAATAAGAGAGGCCTAACAAAAATGCTTGACATAATCCGAATCAAGATGGAAATTAATTTTTTGCTTTCATATTTATATTTTGCACAAATAACCATTACTGTCAATTTAAAATCAGACAAAAGTTTTTATATATTTTCTTGTAAGTCATTGTTCCCATTAAGCAAAAAAGACCTTCTGTACTTAAGATATCCTTAACATATCCAGGCCACTTCCTAGTTACAAAGCAGAATGTGTTTCAAATCTCAAAACTGTCAACACCAGTGCTCTGAGTCTTCCACTATAAAGAAGAAAATAAATAAAATTGTTAAAGATAGGTCTTCCAAATGCAGACATAGATAAATAGACCTCTGCAAGTTAGATAAGTTTTGTCTTTGATTGGTCTTTTCTAAGCTGTCAAATCTGAAAGTCCATTATATACCTTATTGTCAATCAATGAAGACCTTATGATAAACACAAGAACTCCAAAGATAAACCATGAGGTATATTAAAATGACTGTTTTTCCTATTGGACAAATACTTTAGGCACTAAGATAGAGCTGCAGCTTCACAAAAGGTGCATGAAAATTCATAGGCAGATGATGAATACATGCATATTAAGGTAAATCCGAGTACACCAAATAGTTACATTGAACAAATTGTGAAGGAGAAATGTTGTGAACTCCATCCCATTGATCCAGCACTTTTACACATAACTCAGTATGAATACAAGCAGGATACTACTGAGTCATATGTTGATTAAATTCTACAAGAAATCATTGACTGATTTAATAAATACCAAAATAACAATAATAATGTGGCAGAGAATATATTTGTGAGACTAAACATAATATAAAAAAATTTCATTAACACACTGGGAATAGAAATTCTTTCCAATCTTAATATGAAATATGAAAAGGTGTACATCTTTATATAAATATATAAACTCAAGAATATATCACATATATTTTGGTGTCAACCTTTATGAGTAATAAACTTACATGTATCAACTTACAATAAGAAAATAAAGAAAATGACCCAAATGTAACTAATATAGTATAATGTGTTTTATTAACATATGTGTAAACATTGGGTGGCAAATAAATCTAATCCTCATCTAGGGGCATGGCTTCTTAATTTACTTTCCCTTAAAACCCCTTCAAAACTCAATAAAAATAAATTCTGTGAGGGGGTACACACATTTAGGATATATTAGAACATTACTGCCCTAGATGGGGCTATAGGACATTGAGTAAGAGCAAAAAACATGTTTTAATAATAAATTATACCTTCATGAATCTGCTCAGTGGTGCTGAACAGCTCATTAACAAATTCTTGTTTTGTCTGGTCACAATTACAACCATATACCCAATAGACACCATCAGAGAAAGAAATGTGTCTTCTTTTTACAAAGCAGAACTTCCTCAACTAAATATGATCAAGAGTAATTAAATCAATAAAACTCAGAATTATACCTTAAAAATTGATTCTCTTTTCAAAAAACTTTATTTATATTGCACAAAAAAGTCTTTTAGCCTACTGCTTCAAACAGATATACATACCTAACAATTCCCAATATTCTGTTTGCCATACAAGCTGTACTAGAACGATTTAAAGACATTTTGTACTATCAGACAATGAATGTAATATAACAAGAACACAGATTGACTTCTTAGCTCTAAAACCTGAGTCAACTACAAATATTTATTTTCCTGCCAAGGGTCAATGTTCAATTTCCCATTGTCACCCTTTTGATGGTCTACCTTAAGTTTCTTCTTTGATATATCAAGTCTTGCAATAAGAGGTCCACATTTCCATCCAGCATCACAAAAGTCTTTGCTGTTAGAGCATGAAACATGTAAATCTGTATGATTCCACAATCTTACTGGATTTAAGAAATAAACATTGCCAATTTGTAGAGAGAACAAACAGTACACTTTGCACATATTTACAAGGTTATAACTTGAAAAAAATCTTAAGAAATTTCAGTAATCCCACACAATAAAATTTGAATCATATCAAAGAATTCAAAATTTATTTACACACAAATTCTTAAGAAATTGAAAAATTATGAAGAACTGGTATGTTGGTGTGCCTCAAACAGGAAGTTGAAATACCTCTACATCTGGAAGTGAAAAGTCTTGAAGCATTTCATCATCACTGGCATCAAATTGTTGCTCATTGTCTATTAATAGAGATTTATGCTTGCAATTTGATCAATGACTTGACAATTATTTTGATTAGGGTGATGGATTTGAAGGGGATTATATGGTTAAAGGGAGCAGCTAAATTAAGCTCAAAAAGCTATGCATTGTAATAACCAATAATCCTTATTCTTGCAAAAAATAATATGGAACAGATATACTATGTTAAAAACCTCTTTCTTTTAACACTAGGAATTCAAAGTCATTTGCATCTCTAGGTCACAGAATCACTTTAATTTAATGGTAATTAGCTAAAGAGACAAATTCTAAAAATGCTAAAAAACCTTCTGTGCAAACTATATGCAGCTGATGGTTGCAGTTCTTTGATGACATTATAGAAAAAAGTAAAAGAATTTGCATTGACATTTGAGATATGCTGAATGTGGGAGAAAAATGTCTTTCATCTCGTGAGTACAGCTTTAGATTATTTTCTTTCTAATCAGGTTAGAACTTAGCTCTACATAATTAAACTAAAAATATAAATATGTATATTTAAAATGTAAATCAAGTCCATCTGATTACAGATATCAGCTAACTGAACAATTTCTGCTTATAACAGGCATATGGTGACTTGATTCAAAATCTCTTTAAGTATCATTGAAGTATCATATCTAATACATGATATGTGACATAATTACATTTAACGTAATGCTCATAATTTGATTTGCATATGAGCATACCAATAGTGTGATAAGAAGAGGGCAACAATGAAAAATCAATGCTTTAAAAGTCATAAAATTTAGACAACAACCTAATGATTTTCCATAACAGGGACTATTTTAGATATCCCAGTTATGCTGTGCCACAGTGTGGTCAGAGTCAGTGTAGACTTTTCCTAGTTTGACTAGAATTTTTGTCTATCCAATTGAAACCCTCATTTTGTGTTAACTGTATCACCTTGGTAAATAAACAACAAAGTAGCTAGATTTCTAACTGGGCATAACTGAATTGTTTGTGGAAAATATATTTTTGGTCAAAACATAACTGACTATTGAGCCTGTGAGTCAAATCACTCAAGTTGTGAATGGACAAAAGATAATTTCACATAAGGGCTCAGTGTGGAAAACTGCAAGTTGGGAGAGTAAACACAATAATCACTAATTTAACCTTCTTGTTCTTTGCTTTCAACATATAAAATCCTTAATATTCATCCTTGACTAACATTAATCAATAACTAAAACCATAATAGGGAAGATAAACACGAGATGTACTCATGTGGGTAGTTTTGTTCAGAACAAGACTGAAAACAATGATTAGCAAAATGCTCTAAGCAGAATGAAGGTGCTCCATAAAAAAAGCCCCTTAGAAACTCTAGGCCCTTTATTTTGCACCTCTAAATTGTTCAGATTTTTCTAGATATGTAAGTTGCCATCGCTTGATGAGATTTTATCACTGTCAGTATCACTACTGTTATGTTCAGATTCAAATATTGCTTCATCAAAACGCATGGGTTTAAGTTGGACATTTAACTTTGTTTCCTTTAATGCTATCCATTTTATAAGACACCCTAGAACATCCACTACTCTCAACAGAAATGAAAACTGAAAATTAATGTGATAATTTGGACAGAAATGTGATTGCTGATTTGCACAGGTGATTTTAAATTATTAAGAAAAAACAGGAAATTACACTTCAATAGAATATTAATGCTTGCTATGGATTAAAAATGGTATAAAAAATACAACGTTGAATTTGATGAATTTTTTCTCAAGGGGTTATCTTATGCAAATCATGTTATTGCGGTCTGTTGGGAAGATTGTTTATGCTTGATCAAGTTAATTCAACAAATGTCAAAAGTTTATTTTGCTTCGTGTAGCAGCAAGATGTCCTTCTATCCACTGGTTTAGGTAACAAATTGTGATTGTGATAAAGCTACAAAGTTACCAGATGTCAAGCTCTACTGTCATTGGGTAAGGCAAAACCACTCATGGCCTAAAGGGCAGGGCTCTATAAATCACTTTCCAAGGTCTCTGCTTTTCTTCCCTTCAATTCTTCCTGTGAGGGTTAATATCTCCAAACTTTCTTTCCTCATAACATGCCCCAAAAATTCCAACTTTTGTTACACATAGGGCTCCTGAAACCCTGTTTACCAACACATTGCCCTTTAGGCCATGAGTGGTTTTGCCTTACCCAATGACAGTAGAGCTTGACATCTGGTAACTTTGTAGCTTTATCACAATCACAATTTGTTACCTAAACCAGTGGATAGAAGGACATCTTGCTGCTACAGAGAGACACCCACTTTCAGTAAGCATAGATAACAAAGAACGGCCAAAGATGGGATTTTTCTAAGTGTGAGGCAAATACTATTAATTGACGTTCTATAGAATGGTTCACCTTTTTTGCTTATGTGTTGTTGGAAATAGTTCATATGTAGGTATAAAATTATTGAGAAAGTGAACAAACCATTGTTAAGACATCAACAGTGCTGCTTTAAAAACAAATTTCCAACTAATTTTTCTGATCTTCGAAGCTGAAGCACTGCCTGCAAAAAGAAGAATACACATCAAATATATACACATACTTTGTTTAAGTTGAAAAATATTATGTACAACTTCTCATTTTATTAATTCTCTTTCATTTCAGTTCACAAGCTATTAAGCTTCTGTGTCACATTATTTTTATAATATTTTAATCAGCTTTGCATCTACAAATCTTGACAGTTCCATATACTGATGTAAAACAATGTTTTTGAGGAAAGAAAGACAGAAAGTAACTAAATAAATAAAATGTGACAAGATTTCTTGGATAACCAAAAAACCTTTAGAAAGAACAAGGCTTAACTATAAAGAAAAATTACAAGGAACAGCAGTTATATATGACTTGAAATATCAAAATAGCCAAAAAAGCTTGCTAACACAACATCAGGGTTTCTTAAATTCTTTAGCACATAAAAGATAACGTCCCAGAAAATGCTGAAACAAAGTGATTATTCAAAAAACTTCTTCTAATGCTGAGGAATTACGATTTGATTTGATTTATTTATTATTCAAATTCTACTACAATAATTATTGAAAAGCAAAATACTAACAAATAAAAATAATTATACAAATAAAACATTTAAATAAAAATAGAACAACAACACAATGCAATTAGGTGTAGTAGAATTCTTAAGGAGGAGCTCTCAAAGTAGGTAAACTAACGAGATGAGAGCCCCCATCTGCACCTATAAGAACCATAAACACAAAGGCGATTAAACGTATCGAATAAAAATTTCATTTAGGCATTCACATAGCATTGAGCAAGTGATGTTTTAGATTCTTTTTGAATAAAAATCTTGAGGTGGAGTATCAAATGTCAGCTGATAGGTCGTTCCAGAGTTTCGCTCCAATATATCGAATGGACTTTAAGCCAAATTGAAGCATATTTTTTTATCTAGATAGATATCTCCTCGGAAAGACTGCCTTGTTTATAGTGATGGACTGAAATATTTAGTGGGAAGAAATGGTTAAAGCAACTTGGTGTTAGTTTGTTTATTGATTCAAAAACAAATGTTAATAACCGGAGTTTAAATATGTCATTAAGTCTGAGTAGCTTAAGATGTTTAAAGATCAGTGTTGAATGGGAAAAGGCCTTTTCAAGTGAAATTGCTCTAACAGCTCTTTTTTGCAGTTTGAAAATAGGGTATGAGGCAAATGTTTGTATAAGGCAAATGTTTGACCCCAAACAATGATACTGTACTGGAGAAATGACATAAATAGAGAATTGTAGATGCATATTAAAGAATCCAGAAGAAGTTCCAAAAATCTTACATGATTTACCCTGGTGATATGTTGTTCACCAATTTTAATTAGGATGTCGGATCTGATTTTTAGTAATTCAGAATTTACGTCATTGACTGAAACAAATTGATGTCTTTCTGAAAGGTAGGACCGAAACCAAGCCAGGGCCTCTCCTCTGATACCATAATGTTCAAATTTGTTAATCAAAATATCGTGCTTAACAGTATCAAAGGCTTTTTGAAGGTCAATGAATATTCCACATCCACATCCAAGTTTGTTTCTTATTGCTTCAGTCATACTAATCAAAGCATGGTAAATTGAATGATTTTCCTGAAAACCAAATTGTAAAGGGTAGATTACTTTGTTATGAGTAATAAACGAATAGAGTTGTTTGTACATTAATTTTTCATATAAGCTGAAGACTGGCAACATCGATATAGGCCTATAGTTTGACTTAGTTTTGGTGTCCCCCTTTTTAAAAACAGGAATTATTTTTGCTACTTTTAAAGGGCATATTTCGCATTAGCAGTTGGCTAATAAAACAAAAGACTTTGAAGTGGAATTCCATTGTTTTGTGACTATTCATTTCTTTTAAATTAGTTTTTATTGCCATAAAAATTCACCCTCGATTCCATGCTTTGTATTAAACAAAAGAGATAATTGAATGGAATTAGCCAATCTAAGTGATACACATACACAAGCTAAGGAATTCGAAATATAGGGTCCTAGAATTTTCAATAGATTGATTGGGATACTGAGTGGCCCAGAAGACTTTGATGAGTCAAATCTAGAAATTTCATTCTCAACTTCTATGTGATCGACTGGAGAGAGAAAGATTGAGTTTAAGTTTTTTATTTTCAAGATATTCAATAGGTGACTCAGATCTTTTTGGTAAAGTTTTGGTAATATTCTCAGCAACAATGACAAAGTACTTGTTAAAGATATTAGAAATTTTAGTTGTGTCTGAAATTATTTCTTCTTTATCCTTGATTTTACAAATACTTGAAAGGATATGGAGCCTTTCTTAAAGAGATAATCGATTTTTATGCTTACCCACAGTTTTCTCATATTTTGACATTTCGTAGAGAAATAGGCGTGGAGATAGTTTAGCTTGCTTTTCTTTATCTCATTTGTTACTTGATTTCTGAATTTTCTGTAGAGTTGAAGATCCGATCTATTTCTTTTCATTTGTCTAAACATAGGATCATGAATTCGCATCATTTTTTGTATTCTGCTGTTGATCCAGCGTTTTGCTTTTATTTTTGATTATTTTTTGTGCACTTTTTAACTGGTACATGTTTTTGTGCACTTTTCAACAAGCATATCAATGTCTTGAGAGAATTTATTATAGTTTCCATTAATATCGGTATCATTATCAATATATAGCTAAACTCTAATTTATTAAAGTCAGAAATAAAAGACCTCTCGTCAAAAGATGAGAAGTCATGTTTATAGGTCACTGACCTATTGTATTCCATATAAGCGTTTTTAAGAATTAGAAATTGCGGGAAATGGTCGGAAATAGAATGTAATAAAAAATATCATAATCAGACCATGGTCAAAGCATGGTTTAGCAATGGGTTTCATTTGATTATCATGGTATACCATGGTTGTAGAGGGTTATTTCTGTGTCTCACAATGGTAAACCATGGTAATAAAACATGATGTTACCATGGTCCTACCTTCTGTGGTCTTTTCGCATACTTTGAATATGATTGATTAGGCCTATCTTTCTTTAATAATTTG